TTGTCGCTGTAGATGAGGAATTTAGCCAGTGCAGTAGGACCGAAAGCCTGGGATCTTTAACGTGCATCATGTAGTAGTGATTACACAAACGCGTACTGGTATGATCCTCGTCCAGATCGAAATGAGCAAATGCTGGGGTTTAGCCCACGATCCCGGGTTCTGCAGCGCGAGCTTTCGCTCCGCATGCCCAGAGCTGAGACGTGCTAGCCGACTCGGCCACTGTTCTTCCATGTGTTTTAGTTGCGTTCAGCACTATTGTGAATTGGAAGTCATTTTCCTAGTAGTTCAAGGAGGGGCAATTGAAACTTCTATGGTACAAACCAACATTCTTGCTACAGTTTGCAAGCCGACTGAAAGTATGAATGCCTTTTTGAAACCATCTAATGTCTTTAGGCACATGGGGTACGTTCTTCCCAAGTGTCTTAATTTCACAGCAGACTCCTACGGCCTGTATAGACGCCACAGTTTCTACAGTTTCCCAAATTAATGTGAAACAGAGTGTAGTGGATTGCGTGCAGGCGTACCCTCTTTCACACTTGAAGAGGTGCGATGTTTTCAGGTGGCTGTAGGTAAACCTGGTATATAGAGAGGTTTATACGTTTCCCATCACACACATAAGTAGTTCTTTTTTTTTCTTTTACTCGACTGCCAAATACCGATAGCCCGAAGTCTTTAAGATGAATCATATAGCAGTAATACTGCCCATGTGTAGGTGCAGTGCTCATCCAGGTCAAAACGGGCAGGGGCACTCAGTGCAAGTTTTCGCTCCACACTCTGCCACCAAGCCCCCCAAATCAGCACGTCCTGTTGAAGCAACGTGCAATTATTACTATTGCTGCTGTTGGGGGCACGCACACGTAAGGAAGGAAAATAACAGCCAGGAATTCTGGTAAGGGGAGGACGCCATACGTCATGGAGCACAGGAACAGGCTTGGCTTGAATCCTTTTTGTTTCAGGATCACCATCACTACTCCAAGTTCACCACAGACTTTGCATTCATGAGAGCTTTCTCCAGCAACCGTTTCTTCTTATGAGACACTGCACCGCTCGCAGTGGCAGCTGCTCTACGACACCTGCTCGCTGATCCACAGCTGGCCGGCCCGGTATGTGGAGTCATGAGAACCTGTGGGTTGCACCTATTGCGACTCTTCCTTGACAGTTTCTTTAGCTTAGTTATTTTGCATGGCACCAAGGTTTAAGATTCTCTAGAACTTCAGGGTCATGTAGTAACTGCATTTTCCGAAGTGTTTCCGACATTAAACGGCAAGCACCCTGGTTGTGCTTGTCACTATGCCACAGTCACCTGTGTGGTGCATGAAGTAGTGGTTTGAACCATTGAAGGGTGCACTAATGTCTCATAAGCTCTCCTGGGCACTCATCGGTAAGTAATATTTGTGCTGGTGATCCATTATTCAACGACAAACATTGCAGCAAGAAGTTACTTTTCAGTGTGCACACATTACTGTTGTAAAGCCTGAAATATTTCAACGGTGAAGAATAGGAGAGTGACTTGCTTCAGGCTACTGGAACACGTTATTGTGTGAGCAGAAGAGTAGCAGAACCAGGCACGAATAAAAATTGAAAAAATCCGCAGCGGAAAAAATAATAATAAATAAAAGCAGTGTGAAGAGTTGTGTTGCTTACACGTCAGAAACTCGTGGCAAAAACGCGGGCTATACTCTGTTTCACCTAGTGTTGTACCCCAGGAACGGCTACAAGCGCGAGCTCCTTGCTCTAGGACACATCTCGACGGCACAAGCTCTCGTGCAACAAGGGCAGCTGCCAACGCTATGAGCTCGCGCTTCTGGCCTTCTCTGCGGTACAACATAAGCTGAAACGGAGTATAGACGGAGAACGACTCATTATTAATCTGAGACGGGGACACTAATAATAAAACGAAGAGACGCGCGTGTGGTTGCCCTTCACTATTATTTTCCCCTTGTTTTTCTTACTCCGCAAAGTCGACATAGTACAAGAAAACACGCAGAAGTAGGAGAGCAAAGAGGCTCCTCGGCGGGCTCTGCCGTCTCGCGCGGTTCTGGGGTCCGAGGCGTTCGGTTACATTGCCTCTCGTGGTTTTCGGGCGCGCGGTTCACGGGGGAGTCGGTGCAACGTACTCGACGCGTATTGAAAAGAACACGATTTATCCTGATTACGCAAAGCCCGAGAAACGAACCTTGCTTCACAAAATCGGTACGCTCGTAGAAAAGCGAAGCAAACAAACCGCATTTTGCAGATTGAAGAGACATGGACGAGTCGTCACAAAAACCACTCGGCATCAGCGGTTAATTTCGCGGCCGCTCGCTGCTCGAAGTAGCAAAGTGTTTCTGCCAATCCAAGACAAGCCAAATTTCACGGAGTCGTTATGAGGCGATCCTAGCTCACGGTAGCATCAGCGGTTAATTTAGCGGCCGTTCGCTGCTCGAAGTAGCAAAGTGTTCCTGCCGATCCAAAACAAGACAAGCCGCCTTTCCAGCGTGTCCACCATGTGGCCACCCTGCTTTCTTGAAGTCCCCATGGCCCCCCGTCAGTCAGTCTATTCACGCGTGCACTTCCCTTTCTCTCTAATATAATCGAAGGCGTCTAACAAAGCTCCGCGTCGAACGTCCTATCAGAGCGCGACGATTGCCTCGGGTTTATGCAAAGAAGTGGTCCGAGCATAATCCATGCTTATCCCTTTTCAGAGGCGGCAGTCCAGGGAACTAATCCCCTCTAATCCCTTTTGAGGGGAGGGACCCTTTTTTTTTGGGTTCCACCCAGGCCAGAAACTATACAACACCCAAATCATGCGCCATTCCACTCTGTGAAGGTGGAGGACCAGCGAAGCTGTTTAGCACGCGACCCAGACGTGACACAGAATTATGAACAAAGGTACAAACACATTTATTGTTTTGATCGGTGGTCATCGTGCAGAAAGTTAAGCACACATATGTCGAGGGCTATCGCCGCCTCCAGGAGCCGGAGGAAACTGGATACGCTTGACGGGACCGCCACCCGGCAGAAGGAAAGGAAACTAGGCACGCAAGCGGCTAGGAACGACGACAAAGAGAGGGCGGTGTGAGCCCTCTCCGAGTTTTTGTCGACGCACACGAAAAATCCACGGACCCCTCTGATAACCAGATCCTCGCAAAACTCCCCAGAAAACTTCCCGCATCAAGAAACCTTTACCTACGGCTGATATGCAGAAATGGCTCTGCACCTGGATTACATGGGCTTCCTAAGGTCCATAAGCCCAATATTCTACTCCGGCCCGTCGTACACTTCACAACCTCGCCGCTTCGAATTATCTCTAACTGCCATCGCCGCACTCTATACCCCCTCATTGAAAAAAGGCCGACCTATGTGCAGGACTCTGACCGTTTTGTAGAACTCGTTTTGGAACGAAGTTTACCGTCAAGGAGAGCCTGGTACCCTTTGACGTGATTTCATTGTTCACAAGCGTTCCTATATTATGGCAATCGCCACGGCTGAAGGTGCTCTCGAGAAAGAGAAGGACCTGAATGAAAGGAACAGGCTTAGCGTTGATGAACTGGGCCGCCTCCTTGAGTTATGCCTTAGCAGTATTTACTTCAGCTTTAAAATAGAGTTTTTTTTTTTTTTTTAGCAATATCAGCGGAATCTCCATGGCTGCGTCGATCTCGGTCACCACAGCACATCAGACGATGTAGGCCATTGAACAAAGGGCGCTGCAGTGATTCGCTACAAGTCCCAAATTGTTCTTGCCCTACGTCGACGATATCTTTTATATCATAAAAAAGTAAGAAGTAGACAACATTCTAGGGCATATAAACACCATCCAGCGGGTCATCCAATTCACAGTGGAACATGAGAAGGACCACACCTTATCATTTCTGGATGTACTTATGAAGAGGCAAAAAGAATACCTGGAGTTCACATTGTACAGAAAGAAGACTTACACGGGATGTTACCTCCAGTTTGAATCAGACTACTCAATGAGTCACAGGGCTTCGGTCACTACGATCCTGCTGTTAGAGCAAGTAGCATCTGCTCATCAAAGACGGACCGAAAAAATGAAGAGCAAACGATCATAACAGATTTAAAGAACGGCTACACCAGCAGTTTCGTCTCTCTTTGCCCGGCGTCTAAACAGCAATCGTTCACACGTTCAGCCACAGAACAGCACGCGGCTCCTCCCAAACACCCGCATTCGCGTTTCCTAAATAAGTGAGGGTAGCGAAGCGCTGGCGTGTGCGCTGGCCAATGAAGGCACTCAGGCGTCTCACAAACCAGCAAAACCGGTATCAACACTTGTACGTCTGATGCTGCAATCCAAAGATCAACCCTCTAAAGAAAAACCGCAGGGTGTTATGTTTTCAATTCCATGCGCAGAGGGCTTCGCCACCTACATGGGCGAAACAAAGAACCTTCCAAAGCGAATTCGACGACACGAAAAAGATATGCGTAAATTCGACCGCAACTGCAGCGCTGTTGTTGAGCGCTGTGAGGACAATGACCATCACATCCACTATCGAAATACCCGCATTATAAACGCTTAGACGAACTTCCTCTAGCGGCGTTTCATGGAGTCGTGAGATATCCAAACACCACCAGGAAATGTCAATAGATTTACTGACACATTACCATCATCATACGTGAACGGACTAAGTCCCCTGACAAGCCATCATTGTAAAAGAAAACGAAGGTGCTGGCCCCTATCTCTAGATAGTCGCACCGAAGATCAAAACAAGCCGGTTTTGAAACGTCGGGACCTCCTTGTAGGATACGGTTGGTTATTTTATTAAATATTTTAAGAGTATATTAGGCTTGATTTGTCTATGATACAAGCTTCTTTGTAAGCTAATACAGCAGGCATCTCTCAATGTGTGCTGAGTATGATCATTTTCACGTTTGATTAGGCACTGCGTGCGGACTATGTACGGCTTGCAGATTATGCACCGGGTGTGGACTACAGTCGGGAAAATATGATAGACGTTCCCGATTTCTTATCGAGTGTTCGTTGTGTGTGTCGGATGACCCACCTGCGAAGAGACTAGCCCGCGACGCAGTCTGGGAGAACTGATGCTCCGTGTACTTAGGAAAAGAGATGTAGTAGCCCGCCAGGGCGATGTACGCAGAGATGCTTGCGAAGGTTCTCAGAACGTAGACAGGGTTTCTGAAAAGCCGGTTCAGCGCCTGCAACGTTTCTGTAAAAAAGAATACGCCTTGAAGAATACCGAGCGCACAAACAAAAACAAAACAAAAAAGACATTTGGTTCACGGTTCTCTATTTGCGCCAACCTGCACGCGCCAACAGAGGTGCAAGGGTTAAGGCACAAGTCAGTGCCGTAACAGTTTAGTCAATAAGAGGATCAAGGGCGTACACACAGCAATGGCGGCGGTGCCACCAGCCGCGTACACCCGTCATGGTTGTAGTATGAATCTAATGTAATCCGTATATGCGGTTATTCTTATCAGCGACGCAAACAAATAAGTATGTATGAATTTAGACGACTAAGAGCCTCACAAAATATATATATTTTGAACTTACTCGGCGAGCAAGCAGCCAAACTCACTCCTCGTTTGTTTATTCCACCATTGAAAAACGCAAGTTACCTCAATATAACGTGCGCGGCGTTTCAGCCCACCAACAGTATAGCGTTCAACTCCAGGGACGTTAACATGAAGAAACAGACTTCAGACTGCATGCTTTGTTTTGCATTTCTGTATATATATATATATATATACATATATAAACTGGGGTAAAATTTTAGGTAAAATAAGGGTGCAATAGATCTGTGAATCGCATATTTACCTTTGACGTCAGCCTTGAAGCCCTTATCTTCCTGTCCGGCGATGTCGACTTTGTTGGCGGCTGCCTTGGGCCGTATCTTCTTGGGGAAAAAGAACATGGGCAGCACGCTCAGCAAGATACCCATGCCGATGACTAGGTAGCCCACCCACCAGGCGCCGATCCAGCGTGGGTCCTCCACTCTCATGTCGGGCTTATCTGCAGCGAGGTCGGTTAGATATGTTTTATGGAACACGGGTGACTCGATGAAAATTTGTTTGTACATTCAATTATTAATAGAATTCTTGTTTTATTTTTACCGCATTTTTTTTTCTTTTGGCGGGCATCATACATACTATACATTTTTTTATAAAAAATAAAAATCAACATATCGAGATTTTGGCCACGACAGATGGTATGACTGCCTACGTTATTACTATTGGACAAGTTAGATACAAAAGGCAGTTAGGCTCTAAGCGAACAAAGACACAATCTCAAACGAGTTGCATTCCTAGTCCGACGGTAGCACGTTGGTGAAGTTAAATAAACCAGAAAGAATAAACATGGGGAGAGAACAAAACAGCACCTTTTATTATATATTTTTTTTTTATGTCGGTACTTTGAAACTTGGGTTGTTCATACGAGTAAACAAATCCTTACAGTCACGTCAAAACTTTTTTTTTTTTTTTGGGGGGGGGGGGGGGGGGGGGGGCGTTCGAAACAAATTATAAATCGTTGCCACCTTGTTGCAATGATTTATAACTAAGATAAGTTTTAATTGTATTAAATTTGATTAACGCATTTTCAAAGGTTTCTGAGTCTTCACGAAAGCAGTCGGAGCACCAATCAAAGAATTTATATTATTATTAATAACTTTATCCGATGAGATAGGGAAGTCATATCTTATCTTAATGGTAGTCCTTTGTGATCCCACGGGAAAAACAGTGCCCACTTTTTTTACAACTAAGACACGTATGGAGCATGATTGTTTGTTTTTTCATTGATTGGCTTAGGAAAATAAAGAAAGATCATTGATTGGTGCACCACTTTGTGGTGCAATGCACGTGCACTCAGAAACTAGTCTTAGAGTGTAGAAGTCTTCTACCTAATTTTAACTTCAAATTTAGCATTTTTGTGATTCTAAGATTAGTATTTGCCCTTATTATATAAATCAGACTTTAAATCGGCGACGTACGATGCATTGTAGAAACATGTAAGGCGCCATAAAAATAAATGTAGGTAATGCGTGTTTAAAAGAATGAAAACATTGTTATGTCGGCAGCTAGCAGGAAGCATATATTCCCAACAAAAACTCCGCACATTTAATATTCTTTAGTCTGTTTCACATTTTGGCTCCCAGGCCGGTACAGTTTTCGCGAAGGAAGGGGCTACTATGAATAGATGGTAGCCCCTACCTTCGCGTATTTCCGATGGTTGGCTTCGACTCCTCTGGAATCGTGAGTAGCGCTGAATTAATATTTAAATACATTTTAAAATGAGCGTTCACACGCTCTAAAATGAGTATTCATCTTCACAGATTCATGGGCTTCGACGTTCGCCATTTTCTCTATTAAAATTACCGAAAATCGCTTACAACTTTTGAATCAGATTATTACCAACTCTGAAACTTGTGCCCCTCGTCCGGACCGACCGCTATTGCTGCGTTTGAGCGTAGACTGAGCGTTCGGCAATTCGTAACCTATTTGTAAAATTAAAAAAAAAAAATCTGTACTTGTTTTTTTATATGTATATATAGAAACGGTAGATACAGGGCTAGCTAAACATTCGTTTGAATTTATTTTTAGAGTTTCTCATACCTTGTGAAATTTTAAGGCGTTACAGCGCTTCAATAAAAAACAAGAACGACATCCTGCACATATATACTCCGAACGCAGAGAGCAGAGTCTCATGTAGGCTTCCTTCTATCGAAAGGTGGCGTTACGTGTTATTAAAATCACATTGCAAATGACTCAGATGTGAGACACGCGCATTCGCCTTTTTGTTTCTTGAGTATACATCGCTAATCATGCTGTGTATTTCGATATTCAGCCGGGAGTGAGATTACACGAAAAATGACCTTCAACTGTATTCATTGCGGGCGTCACACCTTTTCTGGGTACAACATGTAGCGCTACCTTTCGATAAAAGCACACAACTCCAGCATTGTCCGTTGGTCCATGGCCTCCGGCATTTGCTGTGCGCGAAGTTTCGAGCATCGGGAATTTCTGATGTCATGGCTGGCCATCTTGGTTTGCATACGCGGCTTTGAAATTTCAGTGATTTCACTTCTACATTTCGAGTTAAAGAGGCCCTGCAAGGACTTTTTTTCTTTATTGTTTTTTTTTTTTGTTTTTTTTTAAAATTTGCACCGAATCTGTGTGCACTGAACGTAGTAACTTAATGAAACTTTTCTTTTCTCGAGTTTTACTTTATTTTAAAAGTTATAGGCAAATTAAAATGACAAAAACAGTAAAACAATAACCTCCTCCATGACGTCCTTGGTCGTGGCTTGAGTGGCCGTGAACTAGAGGAGGGGTAGTGAGCTCAGCGAGCGGTCACGGCTGCCGCACTCCGCGTCGACGGTTCGAGATGGCGGCACTAAAGCATATTCTGGCTAGGCTGTATGAAGCGGGCAGCCAGGGCGGCTCGCATTGCATTTGCTGCGCGATTAGACACTAATTCGGCATGACACTTCATTAGCCACAAACGAGAGCAGACACGGGGTAAAGATCAGTTCAGAACGGGAGCCACTTCGTGCTGCCATTCACCCCGAAGGTCAAACCGCAAGCCAAAGCTGCTCGTCAAAGGCCTTAGGAAAGCTCGGAACCAGTCGGATCCTCCAGTTCATACGACCGCACGCCGCCGCATACATCCGGGACCTTTCTACGCTCGCCGCTCGTCGGTGCCTGATTCCACTACACCTTTCTAGGTGTAGTGGAATCTTTTCCACTACACCTAGCCTTTTCCACCGCTTGGTGGCGGGTATGTCGACGGGTCTTTTCTTGTTTCCTTACTTTCTAAACTGCATTTGTTACTTTTCCTATCTAAAATAGTGACCATTTTGTATTTCGACTAAAAAGAAGCTTTTAGCGGCTCTGACCAGTAGTAAACCCAGGATCAAAGACGTCACATATCGCGCGTTTTCGGCACCGCGGGTCGCCCCCGTAGGCGAAGGAGGTTTTCGCGCCGTCCGGTTAAAATATGGCGCACTGATATTTAGTTAATCTCTCCGTGTCCGCTGGCTTCTCCGAACTCCAAGAGACGTGGAAACCTCAAAAAAGGTAGACGCTTAAATATGATTGCAGGGCCTCTTTAAGTCAAGCAATCGGACCCCTGAAATTGATATTATATGTGTGCTTCCGCTTGCGACACCGGCGCGCTGATGTCTCCGGAACAGTTTAGGGCGTATTACGATGTCGATACCGCCCTGTTCTTTCCTAACACTCTTTGTAAAAAAAAAAAAAAAAAAAGAGTTGAAATGAAGGTATATGTGTAATTGATGCTTTAAAGGCCAGAAACAGCCGAAACAAAGACTATCGAGAAGACTCGGCTTCTTCATATAGTGTGCCCGCACTCGTTCCGAAGTATAGGTGCTCTCAGCGCGCAGGCTACTCACCGTTTAGATCTTCGGGATAACTTAAACAAAGTGACGAGAGAAAAAATCCAACGACGGGTCCCATCAGCCGAAAGGCGTACAGCGATCCTGCGTGAAGACAAATGCACATTATCGCGGAGCAGTTCTTCGAATAAAGGGTGTTATTACAAAGCAGTTCGTCCAGCATCACAAAGGCGTCGCTACTGCCGTCGGAAACACCAGCGGGATTCTAAGCGTATCACGAAGGTATTCGGAATTCAGAGGCTGATCGCAAGAACAAGAATAGAATAAAATAGAATAGAATAGTTTTATTTCCAATACATACCTTTTCAAAAAGTACAAGTACAAGAAAACGTATACCTCCTGGAAGCTTCGGGCGACGTTTCGCCGAGACTAGCCGCGGTCACACTCTGAGGCGCGTTTCTTCTTCTATTATAGCCTTGCCACATTGGCCATATAAAAACTCTTTTTAGACATGTTCGAAGAATGTCTCAAGCAAACATGTTTCGAAAATGCTTGAAATGAGTACACAAAGAATTATGTCATCGTTTATGCAGCAGACTCCGTGTTGTTGTTGTTGTTGCTGTTGTTGTTTTTGTTGTTGTTGTTGTTGTTGTTGTTGTTGCTGCTGCTGCTGCTGTTGCGGTTGTTGTTGCTGTTGCTGTTGTTGTTGTTGTTTTGTAAGATGTATAAGTTGTGCGTCCCCGGGCTAGCAGTGGCATTGCACTGGCTAAATTTCTCCTCTACAGCCGAGACAGGATTATTTAATAATCTAATCATAAACAAGCAAAACAAAATATGATTCCAGTTAATCACAAAGCTCAGAATACGATTACATGTGAGAAATACGTTTAGAGCGGGGATACAGGGCCAGTGAACACGTCATGCTCATCGTCCCTGGACTTGGGTCCTTTTATTTTCGAGAAAAGGCCCTGTACTGGGAACCTTTTATTTTTATTAAATTATTCTCCTCCTCCTCATATCACTGCATTTCTTGGCTTAATCGTATTTTGAGCTTCGCCATTTACTGGGACCCTGGCATAATTTGTCATGATTGGTTGTCTCGTGTTTTGCAGGAAAGTGGACTCACATACTTTTTTTTCGAGGTGCAACATTTTCTTTTACCAATCTCTTAGCTTAGCGTCGTATTTTTTACATATAGATAGGGCCAGTTACTATTGGTTTCAGCTTCTCAAAGAACAACTGGATTACGGGGTCAGTACGGCGGTCAAAACTGCTTAATCCGGAGAAGCCGAGAAACCTCTTAAATTGCCTCACTATCTTTTACCCCCCCCCCCCCCCCCCCCCTCCTTTACTTCCTCCATACACACACATTCTTAAACCCCTCTTACTTCACAAACACAAGCTAACATGGTCATAGGGTTATTTATAAATTTTAACTTACTATACTTCATTCATTTAAACCGACACTACAGCCCAAGCTACAAGCGCGAGCTAGCCCGCGCTCCTGGCTTTGAGACGTGCATTTTGTAGCGTGAGTGCCCGTTCTCCGGAAGAACGCTTCAAAGCAGCGTCCTCGAGCTCTCGTGCTTGTGGCATTGGCTGCAGTCTCAGCTTAAGAATGAAGGGAGTATATTCAGATAAAGCAACGTCATAAAACAAAATTAAGACCTTTATTAAAATAATGTGCATATCTTAATATTTTAGCAATGCATTCCGAATTCCTGCATAATCTCAATAAGGCTGCGCCAATTTAACTACCGAAATATGCATTAGTTTTTTCGCTAAATTTAGCGGGGAATCGAACTGGTGTATAGATCTATGACGTCCCACAAAGCAACGTGCGCGGTTACGCCGACTGCGACAGCGACGGCGACGGCAACGCCGCGAAACACCGAAACAAGCGCCTAAAAACTGCGCTCTAAAAAAAGATAAAAAAAAAGAAACGCATTCGGTTCCAGAATTGTAGTACTGGGAGAACGCGGCAATCTTTTGGAGATGCTGACAACCTATCAGTCACGACTGGGAGTCTGGCAACCGGTAAATGGTATGCTGTCTCCGCCATCTTGTGTTGCTGAGGCACAAACAATTCATGACATGTTATGACGAAGTCCGGTTACTTGAGCGAGCCACAGGCTCCGCCCGGTGGCCAAACTCTCTGGGTACGCACGGCTCTAGACTAATCTCTAGCAGAGCCCTCGGAAGCTAAATCACTGCAGTCTTCAGGTGAACCGCAGCAATTGGCAGGAGAAAGAAAAATATGTTTCTTCGTATAAATAAAACCTGCTATGTGACACTAAGCATGACTTAAGTCTGTGAAGCACCGTGTTCACTGTTGCGTTCCACACTTTATTGTTAGGTGTAAACATAATTTCGGTCTCGTCATTCAGCTGCCTTCCTCCGCACATTGCAATAATTGGCTCTCCGCATACGCCTCACAAAGCTAGATACACGGATGTCCTTTAGACATCCGTGTGCTCAGCGATTCTGTATTGGCGTCCAGGATCTGACACTATGGACATCCTTTCATCGACTTATCTAGATATGTGTCAGCTGATAAGCCTGAACAACATAGATTAACGCCTATGCCCTTCGGCGACACTCACAGATAGTCTGGCGTACCTGCTCTAGAAATTAGATAAGCGTTATTTGTCTAACACTTGGACCGCGTGGACTCGCACACCCGTGGTGAGCGCAGGCAGACCAGAAAGATATACCATTGTTTTGTATATCAACATGCTCCTCTTTCTTGTGGCGCCGAAGAGGATATGGCAGCGTGGCCATTGCGCAGCACAAATGCAGAGTGAAGAAGGAAGGTCAGTTAGCATACCCTTCACTTTGCTTAATGTCATGAAATGCGGAGGTCACACGTGGAAGTTTAAAAACCTATATCCTAATGTAAATCTGTTCGCCAAATTAGTGCAACTTAAATTTCCCGACGATCGAAGACACTGGGAACAGTTTCAGAGATTTTGTGGTTAACCTGTTTCGCAGTTGCGAGAAGATAAAAAGAGACCTAACTTTATTGATTCTTCAGTGTATTTTTTTTTTTGTAATTTGTCTTAATATTGAGAAGAGAAAAAGTTTGATTCTCCCTTTTTATTACTACTAATTCAATACTCCTAAAGTCACCGACAGGACAAATACGGCAGGAGGTCTCTCAGCTGTCCCTCCTCAAACGCCAGTTTCCCTATCTTCAATAACACTCCGGCACCTCGTGAGCTTCGACTACGAGCATGCACGTGCAGCCAAATCTTGTGCTCATGCATTGGGCGGAATTGCGACCGAGCAACCGTTTCTTCGCGTTCACATATGAACTGAAGAGCCATGTCAATCTTCTTTTATTTCTACTAGTCATTGTTAGGTAGCGTCGCCACCATGTACTAGTTATTGAGATTGCCTCTTTGGTTTCCGAGGTCATGGAGTCCGTTTTGGTTGCCTAACTGTACCATCCGCTCTGGGAAATGAACACATATTCATCGTTAACTGCAAAACCAAAACTCACATTAGATTCCCTTTGACAAAAGTAGACTGACAGACTCGTCGTCTACGGAACCGCGTTCATAGAGACTGCCTACGGACTTGCAACGCCGAAGTAGAACACGACAAGCAAGGATGGAAACTAACACAGCTGACATATTGAAAAGATGAGAAACAGAAGCTTTTCCTATACGGTACTGCAGAAATAGAACAGGAGAAATTAAACTATTAGTTATTGTGTTTTTTTGTTTTTAGAGCGCAGCTCTTAGGCGGCCGTTTCCGGCTTGAGCGGCGTCGGCGTAAACATGAGGTCACGTGACCCCGCCGACGTCACGTGACCCCCGTGAGGTCACGTAACCCCCTGAGGTCATGTGACCCCCTGAGGTAACGTGGCCCCCCTGAGGTCAGGTCATACTGTGAGGTCACGTAACCCACGTGAGGTCACGTGACCCCCGCGAGGCTACGAGGGTCACGTGACCTCAAGGTTACGCCGACGGCGACGGGGACGCCGCTTGAATGGAGGATGATGATGATGAAATACGTTTATTTTCTTTCATAATTAAAGCTCAGGCAATGGCACTACGGAATGGCCTAAAAAAATTCAAAAAGTTTTACTGAGGCCCGTTTTCTCCAGGTAGGAAATGACGGATCTGAGCAGTTGAAGTCTTCTTCCGGAATTCCCTGCTGGTTTTATCCATTCATTAAGGTTTTCCGGCTTATCTTCGGGGTCCATTGTTGCATGTGCATCCTCCCTTTCTCTTCTGAAGTGTTTGCAGTCCCACAGGAGATGATCGATATTGGCTGGGATCTTTTCTCTACAAAAGTTACACTCTGGTGGTTTTGGTATAAATTTCGGGTCCTGTCTCAACTTTGCTTGTGTTTCCCATTTCTCGAGGAGGTGCGGGGTTATAGCACCTCTTGTCCTTGCCCTTCTCAAGAGAACTGTTTGGTATCTTTTGAGCCCAGAAGGGATAGGATCCTGTACTTCGGGATGTCTGTTTCGTAGTTGTTGCTGTAGTTGTTTCTTTGCCTTATTTATGGTAGCTATAGGATCGTATTCTTTACTCAAACTTTTTAATACAGTAGAGTACGGGTGATCTCGTTGAGATTGGCCTGGTTTGTCGGAAAGGGGGGAACGACTATACTCTTTCGCGACTTTGTTGGCAATCTCAATTCCCTTAAGGTGCAACCCCACCCTTGGTTAGTGTGATTCTGAACCAATAGATGGCGGTGGGATCGCCTTCCAGGCCTGTACATCAATGCGAGAAATCGTGCGTGGTGGCGCTTCGATACAGTGGGGTATATTTCTATGTCCTGAATTTGACATCCCTGGTCCCTGGCTTGTTCTTCTCTGCACGAGCTTTCTTTGGAACGCGCACGGCTGCGCCAGTTCTCGTGCAAGGGGGCCAATTACCTATGCTCCGAGCTCACGTCTCCAGCAAATGTGGGCAGAACAAATCGCGAAAAACGTCCTGAGCCAAATGGCGAGACACATGCATAACAAAACCACCGACGCGTTGAAAAATATAAAATTGCCCGTGCGCCGCTATTGGTTCAGAATGAAATATGTGTAATTGGCAGAGGCCAATTACCCATATTTCAATGTGATCAGATTTATATTGTCACGAATGAAGTTGACAAGAGGACGAACAGTGAATTGAAAAATA